CTTCGAAGACGGTAATGGCAATCTGTTACAGTGAACTCGGAGCGTTATGTTGAAACGATCACCAACTTATTTTTACCTGAATTACGACATGGCGTGTTACATTCCGACGTGTGTGGTTTCAACAGGATGGAGCGACCGCCCACACAGCCAGAGCAACTATGAACGTTATTCGCACTCTCTTCCATGGTCGCCTTATTTCCAGGTTTGGTGATGTTCATTGGCCTCCTCGGTCCCCTGATTTGTCCATCTGCGATTTTTTTCCTATGGAGACATCCCAAAGCTCGTGTATACGAGCACAACCCTAAATTCTGGTCGAGTTGAAGGAGGCACTTCGTGTGGAAATCGCCCAATTGGAGAGAACGCTGTTGGAGAGAGTCTACGTGAACTTTCAAGAATGCCTCCAGGAATGCATTATCAAAAACGGACACCACATGACTGATCTGATTTTCCACACTTAACTGTGGCAAACGCTACTTCATTGTGAACCGGAATCCGTCAATAAATTTGTTTTTGAGTAAAAATTACGGATTTTGTGATATTTCAAAAATCGTTTGAACTTTGTGCTGGCCTGTGTAAGCGATGCGGTGAGCTTAGATAGGCAGGAGTATACGGATCGAAAACGTTTCTCCATCATCAAGTTTTAAAGGCAAATGTACGGGCAAATCCATAATGTGTGAAACATGGTTAATAGGTATTTAGAACTATACCGGGGTTCGGAGTATATAGATATACCAATTTTTTTTTAAATGATCTTGACCCTCTAAAACGGCAAAAAAACGAAGCTTAAGTGATTTTTATCTTTTCCTTTTTGGCCTCCTCCGCCTCAAGTGGATCGATTTTCAACTACAAGGCTCTTGCACTATTGGTATAGTCGTACCATTGTGTGAAAATTTCATCAAAATCCGACTGGTAGTTCTCAAGTTGCGGTTATAAGATTAGCGGACGGACCGACGGAAATGGGTGACATGATTTTTTGTGATTTATATGTCATATAACATCCAGAAAGAATATCTCACAACGGTGACCTTCAGTACAATGGCTTTGACAATATTATTTTCATATTCATATACAGTGTGTTATTACAATAGTGCGAAAAGCCCCGTAACATGCTGAGATTGCGGGAAGTCATCATTCCAAATTTTAAGATGGTACCGGGCAAAACCAGCATAGCGCAACACTGGCGTTACCTATGCTACAAAAAGACGTCCATCACTGCAAGACGACCAGCGAGCATGATGTTATCTGTTGTTTTTTAATGTACTAGATATGTCAGCCTCGTCCATCGTCCTGAAGATTCTCGAAGCCCTACGAAAAAACGCCCAGACCCAGACAGAGAAATATGCGGGTTTACCGACATGAAAACCACAGGATACGTTCTAGATCTAGATGTTACACTATACAGGGTGTTTCAGAACTAAGGGATCAAACTTCTAGGGGTTATTCAGAAAACATTTTAGTATAGGGAAAAGTGTCACTACGGCACTACGGCCCTAAGACGCGTTAAAATTTAGAAAGACGATGAATTGCCTAAATAGGATTTAATGCATTTAATTTTTGCCTTTTGTACATGATATGATCACAACAATTGTTCAAAATGTCTTCCTCCAACCTGAATACACCGATTTAAACACGCACTTGATTCCGGTGGACTTGACTAAAAATTTGATTCTCGTTTTGAATGATTTCAAATGCTGCTGTAATTCGATCAATTAAGTCTTGCTCTGTTTCTACTGGAGTTTCGTAAACCAAAGACTTTACATGTCCCCACAGGAACGGTGTATCCAGGTTGGAGGAAGATATTTTGAACAATTGTTGTGATGATGTCATGTACAAAAGGCAAAAATTAAATACATTAAATCCTATTTAGTCAATTCATCGTCTTTCTAAATTTTAAGGCCCGTATCGTCAGTCGTCCCTACAATTGTAGGGCGCGTTTATGGCCTCCTTGATTGTCATAGTTTTCTACTTCTCCGTGTCAGAGCTCTATTTTGAGGTTATGTTACAAACATCTATTTGCATCAAATTGTGCTTGCTTTTGAGTTATATCATGTTTTATCAGCCTGAAATTTCCTACAATTTAAAAGAAAAACATATCTTAACAATAGGAGAGCGCTGACGCTGACACGGGACGATTGTAATCTAGAAATGTTTGAAGGAGAGAAAAGAGTATGACAATCAAGGAGGCCGTAAACGCACCCTACAATTGTAGGGACGACTGACGATACGGGCCTTAGGGCCGTAGTGCAGTAGTGACACTTTTCCGGATATGGGTCCCTATACTCAAATGTTTTCTACTGTTACACTGAATAACCCCTACAAGTTTGATCCCATAGTTCTGAAACACCCTTTTGTGTTCATAAGCAGAATGTGTCTTAGGATTCAGATCTTTTTTAATGAGCCACATCCATGCACATGCTTGACTGCACGCGAAACTGATTCTAACACATTCTGGTACGTGAATAATTTCTATAGTTATTAAATGCCTCTCATCTATGCCAAAGGTGATTGATATCAGGACGTTGCATATATAGTTTTGTTGCATTCTCCTGCAGTCGATTCAGGAGTAATTATACAACGCGTAAAATATACTCCAGTCCGTCTCGGAATAAAGCTTGTTTCAAAGAAAAACTAAAATGAAATATTTATTATTATTAGTATAATATTTAAAATTCCTGTGTATAGAATGAATATTATATGGGTCAGCTGCCTGGCGCGGTCGAGCAGAGTGGCACGCATGCAACAGGACTGAAGGTTTTTTTTTGGCCGAACGCCAAGTCGATGTTCGGCTTTCAAGACAGAAGCCGAAGCCGAGATTTCGGTTAATCAAAAATGAGAGACGTGTTATAACAACAAGTAGTAGAATATCGAACGCTTGTGTTACTAGCTCCACTTCTTACAAGTTGTAGCTTCGGTTTTAATGTAACCCCTTAAAAACTGATGAACCGATAGATAATGAGCATGGAAAGAATAACATGGAACTCTTGATAATCAATATAGATATATTTTGGGATTTCGGAAATGATAAGAGACACAAGATCAGTTAAATTAGGACAACATTTCGCATTAACATACATGTTTATGGGTATATCAGAAAGTCGGACGTAGAAAAAATCGTCATTCGCTTCTGGCGTAGAATAGCTTCTGGAATAAAAGTGAATAATGCAACACTTATTGAGCCATTTACAACAGAAACTAACTTACTTGAAAAATAAATTCAGTGGATGATTTTATTTCCTTACAAGTTGAATTATCGAATTTATGACAAAAACTAATAGGCTGCATGCCACTGTACTATAGAACTGGCACTAACTGGTAGGGATATGGACAGCAAACAGATGTTTCATAGTACATAGTCGGTTAGGTCTGATCCTAGAACTAACGCGGTCAAATTTTTAGTAACCTTGATGTATAAATAGAAATTTTGTGCAGCAGAATTTGAAGACATACGCGTATTGCAGTTAACCAGCATAGACCTGGGGGCTATGTAATACTCCACAAGAAACAATCTAATGTGGTCAAGCCCCATAACCTTGACGGCCATTCAAGTTGCAAGGCCCTATCCGTGAAATGCATTTAGTTTCATATGAAACAAGATTTCTCAGTACGAAATTCCCTAAACCTCAATATCCTGCGTGGCGAATCTCAGGTTATTAAAGTAAGTACTAAAAAAAGTAAATTGCAAAGAATTATTATGAGTCTCCTCATATTACGATCGTTAACGATATAAACGGGGAAAGGTTTGGAATTTCATCCGAGCTGTGGGGTGTATTTTTAGAATTCCGAAAAATCTCACATTATTCTGACTCTAATGTCTTCTCTTGACCCTGACTATGACTGATAGCTATTATTACAACGATATTTTCATAATTTTGATCGAATCGTTCTTTAACTGTTTGTCCTGGGATTATGCACACATTAAGACTTCTCAACTTGGGTATTTACCCATTATCTCACCTTATTCGACTGCAGTAATCCTTTCAGTTGTTTCAACAATAATTATTACCGAAAGAATAGCGGAAGAATGAACAAACGATAGAATACAACAGGCTTCGCTTGCAGAGGAAGGAGACTACTTTGGCATGGGAGAATCGAAGGATATTAATATTTAATGAAGTTTATCGCTGTACACCGATGGAATGTATTAGCACATCACATACAAGCCAAGAGTGGGTATTAGAAGATACAGGAGGCATTTTCTCTTCATTCATTGTGGAAAAAATAATTACCCGTTTACACGAAACCACTTCACAGTGCCGTAGTTGTATGTTTGTACTTAGCTTCAGTAAGACTAAATATTGAAACGAGGACCTACAAGAGAATGTAAAACAAAGAGCTATCGCCTAGCGGAAGTGACGTGTAAAATTCTGTGGACTCTGACAGCCGTTTGCCGATGTCACTAAATAAAACTGCAAAAGCCAAAATCATATTTCAGCGAACAGAAAAAAGTCCTATACCAAATTATTAACAAGGATTTCAAATTCATAATGTCTATGCAGTTTTCTCTCCGCCCCGCAGGGTTATTACGTATACTGAAAAATGACATTATGTCGTTTTTTTTGATATTATGTATATGGGTTTTTTGTGTCAATATGCAGGTCTTTCTACAAGATGTCAACTTAGCACTAGCTTTTATATACAAGCTGTATACTATAGCTAGAAGAAAACGGTAGTGCGTGGGTGCATAGTGAGGACTTGCGTGCTAATAATCTGTGTTGATGATGATTCCATTGGTTCCTTGTCTCAACACTTTTTTGAGAAAGAAATTACTGCTGAATTTAAAAAAGGGAGGGATAAGAAAAGAAAACCTCTGATCGTTGAAGTACTATATATTAAAACTAACAGGTGAGAAAATATGGTTCAGGCAGGAATGTTTATGAAACGTAAAAAAGTTATTACATATATTAATTTTTTTTCCTGTCATTAAAATTTTATAGAAATTTATTTTACGATATCTAGTAGCGCCTAAATATGAGACAGTGCGAAAATGTTTTGTGTGTGATGCATCATTCCTAATTTTTCTGTGATCTGGCGTAATTACACATAACGCGGACGTGGTGGGGAATGCTTCTCAAGTTTTTGAAAACTAAAATAAAAGAACGGGAAAATCGCAATGTATAACTTTGAACATGAGATCTCTTCAGAAAGGACATCACAAGTAACCCGTCTGGCATAGCTAATAGATACATATATTTTATGGGTAGCATAATATCCAGTAATTTTCCCACATAGTAAATAGCATTGACTTTATACGCATGCTGACCAATATACGCAATCATCCAGATGTGATCTTCTCTGCTGCTTAACCACACACCTTCTCAGAGTATACTCTACAGAGCATTCTGCAACCAACAAAGCATGCTGAGGAACGGATTTGCAGCTTGCAGCATGGTCATTGAGCGTGTCGTGTCGTTGAGTCATTCCTCCATAGATTGTCGCTTTTGATGACGCTCACAGCGCTCATAGCGAGCAAACGCAGAATGTACTACTTGCACACTAGGAACCATCTAGGCAGCAAGTTGACATTTTGTCGTTTTTTTTAACCTTTTATAGGTTTTTTACGTAATAGCTTTCTCGGTCTCTTCTGACAACTGATATCGTCTGGTCTCAGTTATCCAGACCATCCGAGGCGCAGGAATTTTTCTCATAGGGGCCGATAAGAGATCGACAAGAGGAAAATTTTTGAATATTATGATTACGTACCGGCCCGAAAGGTTTTTGAAGAGCGAGGTATAGCAAATTAAGAAGGATCTTAAATATGGTTCACAAAACTATGATAACCAGTAAATTTATAAAAAATGCAAACAACCCGAGCACAGTAACTGAGAGAAGACAGATCTAGAGACATCTCATAATGGCAAAATCCACCAAGGTGTTAAAGCTGTAGCCTGTGAAATAAGAATTTCAAGGTTGAATTTTTATATTGAAATCCGGTATTTTGTGTTTATAAAAATTTAATATAGCCAGTGTCACTCGCATTGCTAAGGCGAATCCAATAGCATCTCATATGTCAAAATCTGTCAAAATGTTTAAGGTGTAGCCTGCGAAATAAGAATTTTAGGGCCGATTTTTTATTAATATTGGCCGTTTTGTTTTTATATAATTTTAATATAGCTAGTGTCGTACTGCTAAGACAAATCCGACACCTTATATGTCAGAATTGAACAAGCCGTTTAGCCTCTAGAACGTGAAAGGGATTTTCTTGGGTACACACATATATACATACCTACGCTTGAAAAACATATCCCTCTTTCCATGGCAGCCTGGTAAAAATTCAAACTTTAGGAGGTACCGAATTTGTCATGGAGGGCACGCAAATGAAGGGCGAGTATTCCATGGGTTGCACTGTGAAGATATAACGAAAGGTAGTCTCAAAGAGGGCATTTGTGCGTAAACATGACCCTGGTGTTATTGACATACTATATGCTACATTTTTAAAGCAATACTTTTATCACCTCTAACTTCAAACGTTTCCCACAGATCTAACCATATAATCGGGTCTTAATGTTCTATACTACCTTTTCTTTTAAACCATGCCACGCCACTGATAGGTCTGTAACTTGTATGATTGCGTTAGTGAAGGAATGTTGACTTTTCACCTTGAAAATACCGCTAATATTTATGAAATTATTATTGTCCTATGTACAAATAATTACTAATCTGTGATTATACCGTAAGAAATATGTAAACAAATACACTTTATTGACAAACATTTTCATATACAACGTGTCCCTGAAGTTGGAACTTTTCTTTACACAGCGTATAGTTCATGTAATGCGGGTCATGCACGATGCTTCCAACGTTGCATACAACGTTCGACACCCCACAATTGGCAAGTGTGTCTCCTACACGATGGTATGAACTCTTTAGTCTCGGATGTTCGACGTATCCTGGTGCCAACGTCTATTATCGGTGTCAGTGTCGCGCTTGGACCTCTACAACTGAAGGAAAAATTATACAAAATGAACGAAGAAACAATTTTTTCGAGCGGCGAAAAATAATTTCAGATGTTCAGAGATCAAAACTTAAGTCTGTCAGAAGCCTCAGAAATGTCTGAAAACCAAGTTTGACCGTTTTTTGTTTGTTTTTCGATGATAACTCCGCCGCCACCGATTTTCAAAAACTGCAGAGCTTTTTCGTCATTTTCATAGTGGTAACTTAGGGTCAAAATTGCATCAAAATCCTGATAGTACCTTCAGAGTTGCCATTTTTTAATCTTTTTCGTTAGTTATGAAATGCAAGTCAATATATTTCTCAACTAGTCTACCATTACAACAAGACATTATAATAAAACAACTGTAAGCACTTGGTAATTTATAATTTACTAAAATACATATCCTTAGGCCAGCCATAACTCACCCGCGAAACTTACAAAATATTAGCAGTATGAAAAAAGTGTTGTTATGGCAGCCTATGCTTTGTATGTATACTAATTTAATTCATTCTCCTCAAAAGTTAGTTACGGAACATACATTATTATGAACAGGTAGGTATTCTAGTCAAAATGCTTACGACACATACGGACATACCACTACTTCATCACAATCACAGCAAACAAGTAAATAATGTTTTTCGCCGCTACTGATTCTAACATAAAACCATCACACACATAACATCTCGTGTGAGAGCGTACCGAACCATGCTTCCAACGTTGTGACGTCCTTTGACGCGGGTCAAATTTACCGACAGAGCCCGAACGCGCCATGTGGCGAATGTTCGACACATGCAATCCATCAGCACTCTCCCTCAAGATTGGCGAATGGCCATGTCTCCAATATTGTAAGGCCTTCCCCATATCATGTGGGAGCGGTTTAACAATAAGCAAATTTTCCGAGAAGCGTACATACCAAAACTAACTAACCGAAAGTTCAAAACAAATATCTGAACTGCGCAGCTCCACTCAGCATCCAGCGAGTAGCCAAATCAAGTGTCGCGATGTGTGTAGGTTAAACTAGCTGTTTATTTACAAACGGATTTGAAAAACGAATTCGTCCATTTGACGTTAGTTTACGGTGGGCCCATTCAAGATTATGCTAATGCTTCACGAGTATATTTTTATAAGTCACAGTAAGATAATTCTGTTCTAATATCATGCAACTATACCTTTTCTACAAAACACTCACCAGCCGACAATCATAGGACTTCGATCAGCTGTAGAATCGACTTTTATAAAAACCTTTTTTTTCAAAAAAAAAAAATTGCAATAAAACCAAAATTCTAAGATAGCTTGATTTGAAGTTTATTGTACTTCTATATCCTATCAGAGCATATACTCATGGCAGGGTTAGAATTCAGTATCGTACGAATAGAGGTGATCAAGGTAAATGGTAAATTGTCAGATTTTCATTGGATTTATTGAAATAACGTGAAAATTCTTTACCCAACATTGCTGTTCAAAAATTCATTCTGTAGAATTTTTAAGGGCTAAAACTGGGGCCAAGCTTCATTCCCTTAGGGATCGAATAACTTGATGAAAAAAAAAATAATAATGTTACCTATTTTTCCCAGACACGACCTATATATATCCTCTTCACACGCTTTTACCAAATAATTTATCTACTTACATTTTCTTGCGAAAGTTCATTTTTTGCTAGATTGCATGTAAGACATCACCTCAGGGATAATTGAAAAATGATCGCTGCTAGCTTAGTATAAGTTGAGCTAGAAAATGTTTGCAAAGTATATACCGGGATTGAAAAACACATTCACGTTCCGATTACGCTTCATATTAATAATGCGAAACGTATGCAATCCAAAAATGTATCTAGATACAATGTGGAATAGCTAACTGCTCCCAAAGTTTTTCGTGTATTTTCCACTACTTATGTTGTAAATAGCCTACAGTATTATAATCATCAATATTTTAGGTGTTGTGTAATAACTATACCATTGTTTTTATGACTCTTTCAGATATGTTTTGGTACCTGAAAAGACGAGCAACCTGCAACACACCCCCACGGCACGGTTCTTACCCCTGGACTCCCCTTTTGCACGCACGCCAAATCCAGCTCACCCCCCACTGTTTGCTGCCATCTTGAGGCGTACCACTGGTATTAAGGTAGGTTTCTATTGCCGTCATAACTAATACCGACTACATACATATTCCCAAATCTGAACTTTTCCAAACTATTTTAAAAAGTAAGCACAATATTGGGGCAACTAGTAAAAGCTTCTTAAACGTTTTCGATGTTGTTGGCAGAAGAACGCGACGCCCAAATCAGAATCGAGCCCCATCTGGGTTTTAACATGCTTTGCAGAACCGAAAAAGATGAAATTGATAGAGAGTGTCGATGAAATTCGGTAGATTCAAGAACAAAATCGGTAGGAGCAAAAATCAGGGCATTCACAAGATCAGTGATGGATCAAAGGATGTGCAGTTTGCGTCACACAGCATTCTCTATGAAAAAAGTATATTTAAAACACAGGTTTTTTTCAAGGCATCTGTCCCTGAAAAAAACTTAAGTTCTTTATTACAACTTGTACAAGGAGCATAATACTGGTCGCACTTTTTTGCAACCATCATTCAAACTACTTTTGATATTCTTGTGTACAAGATTCTAAATATTTTTCTGTTTCACCCTTGAATTTGAAGCCTCATCACCTGACAATTTAATTGAATATTCAATTAATAACAGACGACCTCTGGTTTCCTTATTACTGTCAAATGATGTGATAATGACTACGATATCCCAGTCTGTACCTGTTGTACACAAAAACCAATATATGAAAAGCGGAATAAGGGATGTGCAATTGCAGGCAATTCAAATCTGCGTCATACACTACATACAATTCATTCTTTTAGCGTTATTTTTGGTTCCACCTATCTGAATTGTTTTGAATAATCTTAGAAAATGAGGGCGTTTTCGGTAATGAGATCAGATTTTGGCAGAAATACCGAAAAATCGGTAGGCGTACACTGATTGTACAGACAATAGAATCGCCTTGTCCCTCTTCAAAATGCATCACTTTATTTTATATTTGCGAATACCGATTCATCCCGCTTCAACAGCTTTGGAAGAAGACGCTTGTGAGCTGTTTATGAATCCGAACAGTCTCTTCCGAAGTATCATGTAGTCTATAGTTGGGTACCGATCAAAATAGAAGAAAGTCGTGATATTTCGTACGTCACTGGTATTGCCGCTGTATACGGTGCACGACTAAATTGAAAAAACAAATTAAAATCAAGCTTTCAATTAAAAATATTTTTTTGATTGGATATATTTAAACGATTTGGAGTTTTCAGATGAAGCGTATTAAAATAGGGTGTAACGCGCTTCTATTTGAAAACTTGTGGAGGAGTTGATCACTATTCGTTCATTAGGCTCTAAATTGTTTTATCAAGCAACCGTAACCATTTCAAAATTCCGGCGTCTAAGATTTGAGTCCTTCCAATCCTAAATCACTGGTGAAGAATGAAGAGTTTCGCTAATGCACAGAAGGCGAGAAAAAAAGCTAGCACGTTTTACGGTGGCCGCCAGACATAGTAAGCAATTATCTGACCCCTAATCGCATAAAATACACACACTAGTTTAGACATCCTATGTGCAATCGACCAAGGTGACTGTTGACTCAAATATATTTGAAATCTAAAAAAATGCAGTTCACTTAAACCACTTCACACGTTATTGTTTAAATATCTCCAATCAATTTTAAATCTATATTTTCCTGCGGTCGCCATATGAAACTTGACATCACTTTGCTTATTGCATTTCTTTCATCAAGCCCTGTCATTTGATACGTATATAAGGGGTGACTATGAAAAATGTAAATCAAGATCTTGCATTGCCAGCCATATTGGATTTAACGTGACGTCACTTTACTTATTGTGTTTCCCTGATCAAGCCTTTCTATTTGATACCAATATCATAGGGGTGACTGTGAATAGTGTAAATGACCATTTTGATGTAGCTGCCATATTGTATTTGGAATGACGTCACCTAATTTATTGTGTTTCTTTCATCAAGCTTTTTCATTTGGTACCCATATCCTACTATGGAAATGATAAATCGCCATTCTGCAGTATCGGCCATACTGGATTCAAAATAATGGCAATTAATTTTTTATTGTCACGCGATCTAAAAGTGTGTACACAATTTCAGCACAACTGCTAAAGACTAACTGGTCCAAAATTGAGTTCTAAGATTTGTCCCACTCTAAAAAACAGGTCAAGTTAAATAAAAGCATCTAAAAACATGCCGCATTAGCAGTGACGTACGAAAAGATGTCTTCTAAAATTCCATGACGAGTGTAAATCTGAAGCAACGTATATATATATATATATATATATATATATATATTAACAGAAATTTCTTTTATGCAGGTTCTAGAGTGCCACGCATTCATTTGTAAGAGAGAAGTAGCAGCTAACGCCTTGGTTAGGTGTTGTTTTCACGCTTATGCTGATTCTTCGTATGCCAGACAAGTTGACACGGCCGGTAGTATATATGGAACTTTAGCTTCAGAAAGGCTGACTAGTAAAGAAAAGGTAAAATATAAGTCAAGCTCAAGCGTTTGCGTTATTGTGTTGCTTATGTTACTATCATCCTTTATAAAACCATAGTATTGAGGTCATTGCAGATTACTGCATCTCATTTGGAGTCTTGAGTAACGTCGAACCTTAGGCGTACCATTCCTGAAAACCTGATAGTGGGTGGGTAATATTACCATTTCCTTTGAAGGATATAGTAGCTTTCGTTGCGGCTTGTAAGTGGTCTGTAGATAAACGTATATAGAGTAATGCAGCTTAAATTAGTTGCCTTTGCTCCGACTCCAGAGGAGGTCTCCTGCAGAGGTATCGCGACTACGTTCCAACAACAATGTAGCCTTCTAATTACATGTATATACTCACAACCGAAGGGTAGTCTTACAGCTGATCTGATGACAAAGAGGGCTGACTGAAACAAGATACTGGGTCCCGAGCCATTTTATATTTTGTTACAAGAATACATCCATAGTTTACAAAAACATGTGGAATGATATGTGTGGACCATCCGCAAAGGCAATTTCTGGAGAGGGGGGGGGGGGTTGTCAAAAGTATGTTTAACAATAAAGAGATTTCGAAAAACGTATAATATTATGCGTATTGGCGTACTAAATGTAGTATTAAATTTATTAAGTTAATAAGTCTATTACCATTCTGCGGCGGTACCCAATTGAACCAAACGCATCGCGTAGCTCCTATAACGTGCAATAATGGGTATATACTAAAATAGGAAAACAAACAGCTGCATGTTTCTGCTAAATAAAAATGCAAATATATTTTGCAACAGAAAAATACTTGTTTAATAAATTTTATATACATAGTTTATTTTTCCCCAGAAAATTTTTTTCCACTTGTAAGTTCCTTGCCCCCTTGCGGATCCCATTGAACTCCTTAGTTACCCTAGGAATAAAATATGGCAAAATGATGATGTCCAGAAACAGCTTGGGTTTGCAATTGATCTTGCGACTGCAAGCGTGTCCTTATATGAGAATATATGGCACATCCTTTAGAAGAGGATGTACTTCTTCTTCTTCCGAAAAGCCACTAAAGTACTTCTTCCCTGGGCAGCGTTATCCCTAAGAGGACAAAGATTATCAGTTCCTTCTTTAATCTGGGGCCTAAGTACTGTGGTCTCGACTAACAATCCTTCTACAAATACAAAATATAGAAAAAAATGTTGTGTGTAAGTATATTCCTGTTTGATGAGTATCGCATAGTAGCACCGACATTCTATGGAAAGCATTGTCATTAGTTATCAGTTTATATTTTTTCTTTCAAGATCGATGAGTGGAAGATGTCCCGTTCCCAATCGGGATCGACGTTAACCTTAAATACAATAACCAAGGACGATGTAAGCATCTACAATGGTGATGAGAATCACAAAGTGTGGGCAGGAAGTCAGGACAACTTAGACGAAAGTGCGAATGGAGGTAAGTCAGTATGATGAAGCAAAGAACTATTGTTAGGGTAAAGCAATCATATAATGCATCTATACCCCTTTCGTAGCCCATTTACGCCCGGACAAAACACAACATGCCCAAAGGCGAGATTGTACAGGTCCGTATTTTCCTCAATGGTCTTGGAATAATCTAACAAAATAAATGATTATTTTGTCCAGATCCCACATCTTTGTTTCGATTGTCTCTTGAACGTGACGGATGCAATCTTTCCAATGGTTTGCCGTCACTCTGTTGACAGCCTCATGAAACAAGTTTGTCACGTCAGAAAATTTGAATGTCCTATTGTTTGAAGCCACATAGTTTTTTATATTTGCCCAAATCATTTCAATAGGATTTAATTCGCAGTGATAAGGGGGCAGCCTTAAAACGGTCTTATTTTGGTTTTTAGCTGTTTCGACAATAGCATTAAGATTATATTTATATTTGTGCTGGCTGGCTAGATGGATAAGTTCTACTTTGACCATATTTTCATTGAAACTAATGTGTTTTGATAGGAGCTATTGTTGAATATCTACATTTCTTGTGGACATTGTTTGAATTTTTTCTAGTTTTCTAGTGTGGTATGCAGCGTTATCAAGTACAATGACGGCATTGTCGTCAAGCCTTGGGACCGTTTCTTCAAACCATCGTTCAAATGAACTCCCGTCCATTTCTTCATGATAGTTGGTCTTTTTCTTTGACTCAGATGCCCATAGGTCAGTGGGCACAAAGCCATCTTCACTGCCAATGTGACAGGTAAATCGTTTTCCTTTTCCTGGGAATAATTATTTCATATAGTATTCAAGAAAACTCAAAGTAATACAAGCAGAGTAACTAACAGGTGTTGGTTCCAAATCTACCAGATATAGCTAAGTTTAGTGTAGCTAAGGTTTCAGCGTGGGCTCATAGATTCAGTCTACTTTACACCATCTTTACAACACAAATGATGAGTTGGTTGGATACACGTACCTGACGGATTCTTTAGGCCAGTGGTAAGTCCATCTAAGAAGACTTGTCTTGCTGATTTAATTGTAGAGCCAGCCCATATTTTAGGTTTTTTATCTCCTGCAATTATCCAGGTTTCATCCAAGTAATAAATCTTCATGCCCTGGTCGCGGTATTTCTTTATTGATGTTAAATAATTTCTTCTCCATAAAATAATCTCTTGACTGTCCATTAAAATACTACTTGTGCCCCGTTTTCTATACTCAAAATGAAGTTCTTTGAGTAAACTATAGAATGGGTCCTTTTGAAAGTAGGTAAGTCTTCATCACTATTAACCTCCTGTAATACTTTGTCTGTGGTGGGAAGTTCCTCCCTTTCAAAAAATAATGGATTTTGCGTCTGATGGCATTACGATCAAAGTTATCAACTCTACCCAAGACCTTCGTGTAATGCAGCCTCTTGTGTGGTGGAGACAATTTTTGTTTTTTTTAATATTCTTTAACAATCTTGAAAATTGTCTTAGAACATGAGCCTGTTTTGTTTGCCACACGTCTTTCAATATCATGAATTTTCATTTCAAGATGCTCTTAAATTTTGGTCTTATAAACCTTAAAGACAATTTATTTTGCCTGAATATTCAAATGTCCCTTCTTGCCACGTTTTCGGGGAGGAGACATCACTGAAGAGGAAACACGGCTGAAGGAAGATTTGGGAGAAATTAATAACGTATAAACACACTATGCTATGCAACCGAATATGAACGGCAACTATCGGCGTCGGCGTGACGGCGATAACCCAAGCCTGAGTACAATCCTGTAGAATCCTGCACTTTTTCGTAGTTTTATGGCCGTAAGACCAATAGCTATTGCAATGTTTAGGCGGCTGCCGCTTTGTCGCGCTGCATCTTTGTTGTGTCGGGGCGTAAATGGACTACGAATAGGGTATATTTGCTCAAGGTAATCCCGGACCCAAAAAAGATTATTGTGGGACTTATATTGTATCGTAAATAACATTTATATCCGGTTTTGTAAATGGAGCATACAGCATTTCATTTTTATTTGTTAGAAAGCATTACATAGTAAGAGAGAGAGTGTAATAATCGGAAGTAGTTTTCTTGGGGTATTGAAACTATGTAGCAACAACTTCGTTGAATAACTTTGTTCTGGATCTCTGTAGGTGTGTATGATACATATGCTGCAAGTACAGTGTCCAGACCTTCTGCAAGACCCAGACAAGTCGCTGCACCCATTGCGGTTCCACCACCTCCGCCAGCTCCACAACCATCAGATAAGGGAAAAAAGAAGAAGAAAGAGAAGAATAAGAAGAGCGTAAGTAAATACAAGTATCAAAATGGAAAAGTGTAGCATAACTCATCTCACGATGCATTAGGTTAGTTGAGTTATTCTCTTCCATTTTGGTGCTGCTTCCTAAGCAGCCTCAGTCTTGTTTTTTGCTTCTAGTGCGCAGCTTGGCATTGATTCTAGCATATAGTCTAAACTGAGACAGATGCTCAGAGTCGCAATGCCAGTTTTTGTTAGAAACCCCCCAGAACGTTGTTATGTATCGATATGCTACTGCTCAAAGAAATAAAGTTGGGTCAGATTTTTTTTGTAGATGAGGTCTATTTTACATTCAGTTCAGGTATCCCTCACTGATCATAATATACATACGTTAGAAATGTCATGAAGTTACACTTTTCCCATTGAATCTGGGAAGAAATTGTTGCCCAAGACAAGTTGAATATCCTCTTTGCGGTTACTGAATGACACTAAATTTTTCATTGAAAGATTTTCGTGGACTTTTAAGGGTCCTGTCTAGTTGCAAGCGGTCTCAGAGATGCATACTTCCCCTTACCCCGTCCAGGTCCAGGTAGGCGGGCACTTTGCTTTACGTCACGTCGTGCAGAAGGCGCAATCAACAGAATGCCTTCGACACCGCCGCATCACCGTGCAAAACCCGCTTGTGAGCGAGTACTTTTTGATGGATGTCTATAACCTATTGTATTCTTTACTTCCAGCTGATAGATTCGTTTCCTATACAAATAGTAAATATCCATACAATTAGGGATTGAGTTTCTTTCAGGACGGCGATCATTTGCTGTCGATAAATATTCAGTTGGTACAGATTTACGAAAAGCATAATATTCCAAAATAAAGGCCTCATAGAAAGGTATTTGAAATGGCATTTTTCTTCAAATTTGGCAGATTATGTCTTTTTAACTTCGATGTTGTATTTTCCCCTTGCGCTATTATCAAAATCCATCTATGTCTTAAAAATCTGAGAACTATTACATATAGTAGACGATAACGCTTTTAGATTCGTTAACATTTTTGCCGATAGTCATAAAACGGCTATAAAGCCGAGAACTGGAGGCATGAGGACAAAGACGGATCTGAAAATTTTCAAACATTTTCTCTTGCAAGTCTGGATGAGATGAGAGATGACTGAATTAAGTTGTTGAAGTGACGTTGATTGTAATAGGTTTCAAATCTCTGAAATGTCCGCAGGGAACAAGTCTCGTCTCTTGCTATCAGTTCTCGATGTACCATCTCTGCTGTGGGAATTTCATCACGTTTTTAATGATCATACACTATGTTCCTTATTTTGGCAGTTGTTGCTGCACTTGCACTTAAAGGTATAGATGTCCACTTGTCAGTTCTTCTTTTTCTTGATTTGACACCGTTAAGAAATAATTTTACAAATTGTAGGATATAGACACGTTAGTCAGTTCGGCTGTTTTTAAGGATGTTACTATTGCCGCTATCACCCATTTCACTTAACAGTCCATTATAAACATTAGGTAATGCAAATCTGTTAAGCATTAACAGAAGGTACAGTCTTTTAGAAATACGACGGTATTCGTATCATTGCTGCCCTCGTTACTACTATCGGCATCATGCGCACTGACAGTATCACTTTCCGAAATGTCTTTACTGCAAGATGGTTTCCATCATTCATAGCGCCTTTGTAAGTATAATTTTCGATGTCCGTGGGCCGCTGACCTGCTAAGGGCGGAAAAAATTCGTATCGCACATTATTATTCAAGACGTCGTCCGTCAACCCCGATTGTCTACATAGAACTGAAAATATATACTGGAGGACCGTTCTGTTGCATCGCGCTGATTCACCTGCTCGGGCTCGGGAGGGGGGTGGAGGGATTCAGGTCTTCATAGCGCAGTCTCATTAAGCCATGTACAGATATGTAACAACAATTGCGTTCGCGGGTCAAAAAATGAACCAGTTCGTAACTAAAACTGAACCATCCAGAATTACACAAATGCGCATATCCAGTTATTTTCTAGTTCGAGATTTTCGTTTACCGCGAACGACTTTGGAAGCGTTTGCAGATACAACACCGTTGCCAATTTGCCCTCTATTTTGTGCTGTTGCCAAGTTGCTATTCGACTGACACTATTGACAGCTTACAGGTGTTATAGACCACATTTGACATTTGTATTTTGCTATTTTTATTTTCCAAAATCTCTTATAACAAAAAGCAAATAATGACTGATCCAGCAAGAGGTATATATAGTACGTATTTATAAGTTCGTTTTTGAACTGACAACAAAATATTTTTTTTCAGAGGACCTTTGTGAATTTTTTACGTTCCCGACACCTGTAGAGGCGAGTCATTATTGGACTCATGAAAACACTTTGCTATTGTTAGATTTATACAGAAAATATAAGAATCAAGTAGGATCGCTAAGAATGAAGAATTTAAAAAAAAATGTTTGAGAAAATCGCGAAAGAAATTTCTCAGACCACTAATATTCGCATTTCGGCAAGTAATTGCGAAAATCGCTGGAAAGTGCTAGAAAGGAATTATAAAAAATTATTGATAATAACCAACAAACAGGCAGGGGTCGAAAAGTTTTCGAATATGCCGATATAATGGCTGACATAATGGGCAAGAAAAAAAAATTAACCCCGTATTGCTACTAGATTCTGAGACCATTCATGTAGCACAAATTTTGGAAGAAACAGAAGGGATGGCAGAATCCAACAATGAAAATGTGGAAGCCGAACCTTTGCCATCAAAACAAGCAGTACCCAAACGAAAACATGTGTTGGTGAGAAACGGGGCACAAAGCAAAAGGCTAAAAGCCGTTGTTTTGCAAGAAATCAGAAACGATCGTAGAGCTTTTTACAAAAGACGATTGGAAATAGAAGAAAAAAAATTAGAAGAAAAAAAAAAGAAATGTTGTATTAGAAAAACATAATGTTTTATTGGAGCGACTTTTGCAAGCTAACAGTTACTCCACTGTTGTTGACATCGCACCCTGATAAGATTTTTTTTATTAACTGTTTTGTCTTATTTATGTTATTGTTGCCATTGAGAATGTGATTTTTAAGTTTGTGTTTTCTCATATTTGTTGAATGCACAGAGTACTTACAAAAGTCGAATATATAATATATGAAGGAATACAAGAAAGGTTATTAAATAAAACCTACACAATATTCACCAAAAAACTGGCACAGTTTTAACAAAATACATGTTACCAATTTTAAACAGATTAAAAAGACATTAAGTAATATCAAATCAATACATACACTGACAAAAAGCAAAGGTAGAAGATATTAAAGAATTGTAAGTTCATCGTACATAAACTTTGCCATTCATTACAAATAAATATAACAAGAAAATCACAGGATACCTTTCTGAAGTTATATTGAAATTCATTATATTACAAATTGCAGGCTATTCATTTCTTCTTCTCTCACTCTCTGACCATCTCTATCATCACTATCAGGCTGAATATCCTCATTTGAAAATATGTGCTGTCTAGGGACATTTGGATGCTTGTTCAACATTAAAAGAAACAGAAAGAGATAAATTATGTAAAACAGCTCAAGCTCTTATGAAATGAACCATGAAGGCCGCATCCCTAAATTTGAGGTGATATAGTTGACGAAATTTTTGTTTTAAGATACCAAAACAGTGTTCAATGATATATCGATTAGAGGAAAGTAAGTACTTATAATTTTTTTGTCGTCTTGTTAAATGACCATTATCTCTGAATGAAGTCAATAAATATCTCAAGCAAGGATAACCACTGTCACCTAATATTTAATACTGTCCACATTTATCAGGCAGGTTTGCATGTAGAGGCGATGTTCTCAAAACTCTGCTATCATGAACCGAGCCAGGGTAACCTACAAAAATGTCTCGAATTCGTTTGTGGTCACATACTACTTGTGCCTGAAACAGAATCACAATATGTTTCATGTATATATATATCTACTAAACTTTTAATGACCATAAACAGTTTATACTTGGGCAGCAGTAAAATGACACAAACCATTTTGAAAGCCAAGAGTGTTCTTAGCTATTATTCAAGAAAATTGTTAAGGGTTCATTGAATTTTCAATTGAAGAGTGAAAATACCAAAGAGGATAGGTACCAGAAACATTATTCCAAGATATTAGAGATAAACGTTATGAAGCTGTTTAAGTTTTATTCACACATTGACATAGAAATACATATAAACAGTTTGCCTTGGCTCCTTATAACTTATGTCATGATATGAAGGATGATACTGAGCAGCTTTCAAATGTAATAACTAAATTTTGAAAATTTGGCACTTAGGTTCTTATTTTCACTCTTAGTGTTGTTACTTATCTGTACATGGCTTTATGTGAACTTGTTACTATGACAGTATCGAAACAAAGCGATTTTACATTCAAATCAATTGTATCGAACCGTTAGAGCTTTTTAGGTTATTGTACATTGCTCAAATGTATAATTTATACAGATGAACCAGATTCCATTATTATTTATACCGTATCATACAGGGTATCTGCGAAAGGTTAGGCAATCGCGAAACAGGAGGTACTTCAGACCCAAATATGAGAATTGACTTAAACATACCTTAGTCTAAAAATTAATAGTTTGCGAGATACAGGGTGTCAAAGTTACAATTATATTTTTTATTTTTCCTTATTGTTTGAGAATTATTTCAAATTTTGGCATAAAGCTCGGTGTAGGGAATGAATGAATGAATCTTAAAATTTAGAGGCATCCCGGCCACCATAAGGAGCCAGTGCATAGGCCTCTTAAGCGGGCCCTTATGCACCTCTACAATACTTAAATCACAAGCCTCGCCCTTTTAGCGAAGTTGAGAATCGCCTTGAGTCCAAGCTCCTTGACGTCCTGAGGGTTCAAAGTATAGTCTGCCTATAGTAGCTCAGAGCTTCACAGCGACACAAAACGTGCGCCGAGGTCTCTTTCTCTACTCCGCAGCGTTCGCACAAGGGATCCTCAGCCACCCCCATCACGTGCAGGTGACGCCTTAACGTGTTATGGCCAGACAACAGTCCAGTGTAGGGAAGTTTTCTAGTATAAAAAACAAGAATCCGTTATTTTTTATGTCCAAACTTCTAGAGGGCGCCACATACCACTATTTCGGTAAATAATTTATCATAACTTTTTCGTACTACCCTGTATACAACAACTGACCGAAGAACCGTATTTTAGAATTTAAGCTTCAATCTTCGTACTCATAAGGAAAAATGCCGTACGTGCAGATATAATTTGACTTCAAAGCAATTGGTGGCTAACAAAACCATCATTACCGCAATGTCACTGGTTTGTCTCTTTGTAAACGCAATTAATTTATATTTGCTTTTACTAAATACGCACTTTTGTTCCATCTAACATTGGATTTCCGTGCTTTTAGTCTCAGTCTTTGAGTGGTTCCAGAGAAGATATCTACTATTCAATGACGAACGGTAAAGCAAGTAGCGTGGCGGGCTCTCTAGCTAGACCTCGAACTATGCAACCTGGACCACTACCTCCTGGACCGCCACAACCTATTTACATTATGGCACCCCATCCAGGAACTCTACCTAACCCAAAGTTTTTCAAAACATACGGTAAGTTTATCATATTTTTGATTTGTAACTACAATAAAACTATAAGGTGCTGAACACATGTTGTTTATTGATTAATTTTTGCTGCATTCAAGATGGCAAGACGCTAAGATGTAATTTGCATTCTGCCTATATCCGTTTTAGGCTACTTCTGGCTACTAACTAAATAAATTAAGCTCTGATAGCCTCATCTCGTAGTGGCTTTTAGGGCTCAGTCAGAAATACAATAGTACATTAGAACGATACACTACCACTATATATATGTTATCGTTGTGAAGCGATGACATAGATGCTTCTATGGCAGCATTATATTATACACACCTGTAACTTTAGGCTGATTCTATGTATAGATAGGTAATAATACTGTTGGCATCAGGTTCCAAAATGAGCTCTTGAGCCTAACGAGAGAGCGTTGCCTCCGCTCTTCGCGAACTTAATTTGCTGTTCATTCGAATTAGGTATGGGTACTACTTAATTTCATATCTCTAAGACGGTTTTAGTCAGCGAAAGCTCTCAAAGTCGATCTCAGCTAGAAAAGCTTGGCAACCATATGAGACTGTGGCAATGAACTTCTTCTGCCCGAAGTGTGAGATTCACCGAAACCTTTTAGCATGCCATCATGGCAGCATGCGATGCATTTCGCCATAGTTATTGCAACCTTTTTTTATTGTTACCTATCAAAATCCTTTAGCAGCTGAGATGTAAGGAACACCTGTTCCTTACGCGTATTCTTTACATATTATCGTATATTAGTTCGGGAAAATATCTAGCAAAAATTATTTATACATCATTACATACTTTCCAGGCAACACATTTTCCCATCGTCCCCGAGGAAAATTCCTGATCCCCGCCCGTCCCGTCCCGCCGCCCATGGTCCCAGTGGCTCCAGTCATTTTACCCCCCACCACCCTCCAAAAAACAAAAAAGAGCAAAAAGCATCAGCAGCCGGTGTCACCAGCAGCCCTCATCACTGCTGAGGAACCAGTGTACATGCCCAGCCACAGAGCTATGAGCCCAATTGCCAGCTACCAACCAGTCACGTTCCCGCACGAGGCGTACCTGATGCAACAGTACGCCACTGTCGAGTCGCAGAGCAGGCAGCGGCGTAGGGAGAAACAGGCGGCGGCTGCTGCCGCCGCGGCAGTGGTGGCGGCACAGCAGGAGAAGCAGGCGAAAATTAACAAGGTATGGGTCATTGCTATTCAGTCCACTTGGAATACTCCAGGGACTAGGTAATTTATTCTTAAGGGAATCCACCACCCCGCAAAGAGACTTGTAATCCGCTCTGTTATTAAACTACACATTAAACCACAGGACTTCCTTAATCCAACCCTCCGCTCTTCAGAATCCTTTTAGAACGTAAATGCGAGAAACTGGTAAATATTGGTTTCAATTGATATTATTATATACGCCAAAATAAAAGAATCTGGTATTTTGTGAAAAATGGAATATAATAAGAAAGAACAAATCTTGCCTCAAATGGGATCGAATCACCACTAAAAAGTCACGTTTGGCATGTCTCATTTCTGTTACACGTACGATATCTACTACACCACCGCATTTTATATGTACATAAAATAATTATCACTATCATAGCCAAGTATCATAAAATGTTCACGTAGAATATACGAGTACTTGTTTTTTCAAACAAACTACTTCATAATAGTCAATGACAATGGCTTAAGTCACTGTATATTATATAAGCAGTTCTAACTATAAAATATTTATATTCGTTATTAGGAATTGGAAATTTCCGCATCTCTCCTTGTATTTAAAGTGTCACAAGTTGCCAATGTAACTATATTATAACATTTCCAAATGTCCAAAAATGGCTGGTTTCTGAAATTTGCTTATTTTCAACAATCTAACAAACAGGCTGGATACTGCAAGATGCTTGACACCTTGGCTTGGCGGTAAGTGGGTGGAGGGCGTGGTCGAATAGATTTTTTCATCGTATTTCCATATTATCTGGTTCATTTTTCAAGCAATCTTCAAAGTTTTTCCACATATCGATAGGACATCGTTGTCTATATGTCATCAAGCCATCCAAGAAGTGATAAAAAAGTTAGGTAGAAAAGTTATCAGATAATATTGTTCACAAAAACAATTAGTGCATTTTAATTTAATATGGACTCGAAATTTGAACTCGTTCGCATTATGGAAATAAGATTGAAAAAATTGGACCAAAAAAAAATTCGCGAGACCATCACAAAAATCCAATCAGTGGCCACAAAAAAACAGCATAAAAAAGCGTGACCAACCACCTCAAGGGTGCAACAGATTTTACTTCCTACGACACTGGGCGAGGAAGTATTGCAGTCGCGAATGGATGTTATACGACACGTACATCGCGCAAAACAATGTCACTCATTTCCGTCGGCTGGAGATGTGCCTTTTAAATATTCTGGTTGGAGTATTCCAGCTGAAGTGAATTCCATCTGGTCCTACCCATTGCAAGCGTATGCATAGATTGTGCTTTCCGTTTGGTCTCTCTTCAAGGATAGTCTGCGTTCGGCGTCTTCCGTCATGGCCAACTTGTTCATGTGTAGGGTAATCTGCAATGACCCGTGCATAGCCTCATTAACGCCTGAACCTTTAACTGATAACGCTTTTTTGTTTCCCATGCCCACTGGCGAAGAAGTATTGCAACTGCGAAAAATTTCTAAAATGAGATGTTTCGTTTTTCGGATTTTATGACATCACGAATACTCATGTCACTCATTTCCGGCGGCACGTCTGTCTGTTGGTCTGTCCGCTAAACCTTGGCCCGACTATAACTTGAGGAGTACCGCTCGGATTTTGATAAAATTTTCACATAAGGTTGCTACTAAGGCAGTGATGAAAAAGCTTTTTAGTTTCTTAAAATCGGTTCGATAGTGGGAAGAAAACAGCTAAAAACATCAAGATTTCTTGATCATATGTAGTATATTTATACCCTCCCAAACATGGTGCACCTATTAGCCATATGTCACACACCATACATTCCATGTATGATAGAATAATGAATCATGCACGAAATGAACTTGTTGCAGCGATGCCTCGGAGATGAACAGTAACTACCGATAGAGCAGGAAAAGAATTGACATTATTCTCAGAGGGATAGAATTGCGCTGAACTTAACTACTTGGCGCTATTCTTTTTATTGATATCGTTGGGGTAGTGTCGTGTAATAAATTCAAATTGGCTTCAATATAGGGCCAAAGCTTTAGCACGTTGATAAAGGCGTTGAGTAAATTATCACTTAAAATATCAATCTTACATATAAAAGTGGCTGGACCATTTTTTGTAAAGAATGAAATTCTCCATCACTTTGATCCTATACAGTTTTACCGTACGGTAAACAGCTTACGCGAAATTTAAGGACACACTTACCAGTGATTAGATTTTTGTCTATATCTTCTAAACGTGGAATTTTAGATGCCCTCATTCCTTTATATGGGGAATATAATTTTATACGAAAAAGGTCACCTGCAATTTTTGGACCGCTTGATGGCTCTTTAAGTATAATGAGTGAAAGTTAAAAATTCGTGTCTACACGACACAGATGCTGATCACGCGTAACTCTACAACATTATTTCACGTGGGGATAACTCCATCAACATTATCTATGATATATGGAAAATTAAATATTTTTCGGATAATTTATGATGTCTTTATCGTAGCCATATCGTGAAATGATCCAACGAATTGGTTGCATTTCATGAAGTGTTCAACTAAATTAGACCATATCGTTAAGTCGTCAACGTTTAACGATTTGGTCACCCACGATTGATCGCATCATTAAATCGTTAACCTTTAACGATTTGATCGTAAAAAGGGCTATCTATAAGACCATAAAACGCGCACCGTCAAGCCTTTCAATTTTACTGTCATCCTCATCTAGTAACGAATTATTAGAATTTTCATTTGGAAAACCGGTATTGTTATTAACAGCCACCGTGCTGAATTTTTGATCAAATAGACTTGACCATTTCATGAAGTAACCGTGCGTTCAGTTAATTATATCGATGTTCGATTTGCTATCATTGATTTGGTCAGATCATGATCTGGAGAATGGAATCATTTTAAATGTGCGGCCACGACATCTTCATCACGAAGTCACTCCAATCTCTGACTATTAGCCATTTTGCCAATGCGTAGCCTCAACAAGTGTTGCAACGACTTTAATGGAAGGGAAGTGACTGCACAAACCTGGAATTTGAAACTGCTATAAATTAGAAACTAATGAATTCATTTTCAAATTTTTAGTGTTATTGGAAATGTTGAACCTTGACTTTTAAGACGGAAAGATAATATCATTCAAATGACTACCACGGCTGACCCGATACCACCTCATCCGATTAGCACAATTTTAAGCAGTTTTTCGATTGTTTGGGCTGGAATTTTTTGATCGTATTTCAAGGTCTCAACTATCGTCTACCATACGGCTCCCTGTAGCGCAAATAGCACAATTATATCTTAAATACGTTATAAAAACGTCTTTTTGAGATATTAGAGACGTCGTAAGGACGTCTCGTCAACGCTGTATGACATCGTAGAGACGATGTGTTTTAGCAAAAATAGGCGTTCCAATGACGTCTTTATAATACATTCGTGCAATATTTAGTGCGGCATTAATACGTAATTGGAAAAACATGTGAAAAAATAAGCTAATTTCTTGAACTGACAAACTTTTATGAGTGGCTGAATGGTGATCCTAAGCTCGCCTTAGCAAAGCTCCACCTACTAACTCCACCTGGGGACCTCGGTTGGCCGCGTGGGTCAGAGTGTTGTGCTACTGATCAGCCGGCCGGCCGGGCCGCGAGTTCGAATCTCGCCTTCGCCATGGATGTTGTGACGTCGTGTGTTTGTCCATAATTAGATATATTCTATATACCAACCTCGCGGTGGCATCTACCACCCTTCCCAGCAGACACTGAAATAAATAAGTATAGTCAATGCCAAACAAAGTGGCGTGCACGTCATCAAGGTGGGTGTGTTGAAAAATTTACATTGTTGCCAAACTTTTTGTAAAATAATAAAATTTATTATTTACATATCTAGGTTTATAGGCAATATTAACCTCAAATGAGAACAAAAATAATAGTATAATAAAATTATAGATCTGTACTTGCATAATCATTAAGTATGACAATTATTGATCAGATGACACTATGAAACTACCATATTTAATTGATAGCTTAAAGGTACTGAATAAAAATCCAAATGGGGTCCTCCAAATTTTATGCATGGTATTTATTTTACAGAATTCATACAGAAAAATGCATTCTAAAATTAGGTAAGCTACTGGTGTAAGCTTTTTCTGTACAATAAAGTTAGTCGGAGTTTCTTTCTTCAGCGCTGTCTGAATCTGAATCTTCATCACTCTCAAAGTTGATTATTAAAGGTTCGATGTCTGGTCGATCAAAAATTCGTTCTCTTTCATACCATTTAAAAATTTCTTGCTCAGTATATCGAACACTATTTTTCCACATGTCTGGGGTAACCGTTTGTAGAGCCTCGTTCCACATATCCAAACAGTCTTTTTCACTGTTACCATCTCTACCAATATGTCTGTTATAGTAACCTTTTGCTATGCCCCAAATTAACTCAATAGGGTTAAATATACAATGGTAAGGAGGCAGATGAAGAACTTTGTGCCCATGTTGTTCCGCCAATTCATCAATCACGTATATTTTAGGTGGTTTGTTTCTAAAAAGGCAGTTATTTTAAGAATAGGAATAAACAAAAGAAATATAAACTGTCGACCAAAATATATATAATTAAGAAGCATTATGTACCGAGCAACAATACTCAATAGCTCTGTTTCAAACATTGTGTTTAAAAATGGTATGTTTTGATTTGTCAACCAGTCTTGGATATTTTTTTTTGTCCATGCATTGTTGGGCACTTTGTTCAATATCATGCTGTGATAAGGGGCGTTATCCAGTATAATCATAGATGGACTCTCCAATTTTTCTAATAACTGATGTTGAAACCATTTCAAAAACTTGTCCTGGTTCATCTCTCCATGATAATCGCTCAATTTTGTTTTCGAAGAAAATATCGCTTCACTACCCTCAATAAACCCATTTTCATTTCCAGCATGTAATATAATGTATCTAAAATATATTAGTTTTAAATTTTATAGTGCAAATTGTGTAAAAGTACATACCTTTTACCATCTGTTTTAATAGCTTTCACGCTTTTTTGGTTTCCATTTTGCCAAGAGCGACCTATGGTCCCATTTTGAAATATCCAAGTTTCATCGAGGAAGACAAACTGGTATAAGGCCTCAACCTTGGCTTGATTGTATTGCCTTAGAAATTCCACCCTTTTCAAAGCTATACTTGGTAGTTCCATGAGCCCTCGTCGCGGATTGTCCTTAAGCCACTTAAATCCAAGATCTCTAAGCAACCGCCTTAAAGACGTGGCACTACCATCAAATAATGCCCTATCTCTTAATCGAGACCATAAAGTTTGTATCGTAACTTGTTCTTCTGAAACCATGTGTAATATGACATTATAATTTAGTTAACAAATTAATGCAAATTTCTGATAAGTTATTATAATAAGATCTTACTTTTGTGATACATATTATAGATCACTTCTCGAATGGCACTTGTATCCAATGTCGTTGTGTTGGTTACACGTTTAATATAACTCCGCTTTTTCTTGGGCGATTCTAAATTTGCATCACTTTTCACACCCTCGGAAATACGACTAACTGTCCTTAAACTAATTTTTAAAGCAGCAGCAACACGCTACAAAAAATGAAATAAAATTTCACTATTATTAATATACATTACATATAATTATTAGTAACCTGCCTCTTGAACAGCATTTAAAGGCAACAAAGGCCCGTTGTTGTCCCTTTCTTGCTCAAAGTAGTGCATTAACGAGGCCACGAGTTCCTTACACCGACTATTTAACTGTTTGGGCATCTTTATATACCAAAATTGCCTTTATCTACTCGTAAAATGAATAATTTTGTTTTGAAACAAACAGTTGTTGATTTACAGTATGCGGGGCCAAAGGATTTATAAAGATTTGAAATGCCACAAATTGATTCAGTGTCAAAATTAATACAAATGTCAGTTCCCAGTTTAAATAAGTTTCAAGGTGACAATGTGTCAACGCTGCGAAATCGGTTTAGTGCGTTTACATGTCGATAAGTGATTGGAGCGTTTGCAAAACATTTTATTTCGCATAATGCGTCTAAATTTATCAGAAAGCAACTTATGTGATATTTTAATAACAATGTTTATATGACTATTAACCATAATAAGAGAGTAATGACCATTTTACAATTTATATATCACATTAATATGAAACTGCAATAGAGCAATTGTTTGTGATAGAAACCTAGGCATTAGGTCGGGGAATTTTTATCGTGATGACGTGCACGCCACTTTGTTTGGCGTTGACTATACGTACAGGTTGTTCCATAAACTTTTTTAATTTTGTAATCCGAAATTTGTTTATTAACGTTGCTTTTATACTATTTAGCATGATTTCTCATTCAAAACAAATATCTTAAATAATTGATGCCGTTGTTGCGGATTGTAGACATTCGCGAAAAGAGCAATAGCTGTACAAGCTCTATATTATTGAAAGAAGCAGGCATTATTATGTTCAAATTGGTATTCATTCAAGGCCTACACTTACCTTTAGAGACAGAGAACATTTTTTTCTAATATCTAATGTTAACAAACGCACGGGGGAGGCAACGATCAAAATTTACAGTACTTTTTCCCAAGGAAAACAAATGGAAAACAGAAGGCGGCCAAGAAACTTTGACAGACAACAGAGCTAGATATGTTGCAGAGATAAATATAGGGATATGCTCTCTTTAAACGACACATCGACATCTGGTGGCCAATGAATGAGTTGAAATAGATTGTCCACGATAAATCTAGACGGTCAAGTGATTCTGGTAAAAACTAGTGTTTAAAAAATACAGATATCTGAAAAGTTTAACACTTTGTTGTTTTATGCAGCTTAATATAATAAAATTGCATTAAAAACATATGAATCCTGAAAATGTCTTAAATATAAATTGGATATATTTTCAATCGTGGTTGGTTAAACAAGAGATTGTGTCCAGCTGGGTGTTCAGCAATTGGAATTCTCATAATGTTCACTAATATCTCTAACTTGTTAAAAAGTTGAAAAATTGCATATCTTCCAGAAGACATAAGAAAACGTCTTAAATATGTTTGTTTTATGTCGTGTTGGGGTCTTCCTAGAATGTCGTCCTAAAGTTATCTTAAAACGTATTTTTAGTGACTCAGTCATTGAGATGTTATTAGTGCATAAATGGACGTCTTTAAGACCTTCTGTGCTATCTGCGAGAGAATAGTTCAACTGGTTCAAATCATCACTCGGTGTCTAAAAGTTCGATTGTGCTTTAGCTATGTGGCAGGTAGCGCCATCCTGCTTAAATAAAATGTCGTAATGTAATTATCTTCAATTTCTGGAAACAAAAATCCGTGGAGCATAACATGGTAACGCTCGCCATTGACTTAATCGGTAGTTCTTTGCTCACTTCAGAAGAAAAACGCGAACTCGTTATGGATGCGTTGGCATCTCCTCAACAAGGCGTCGATTCTCTGGATTTCAAATACGGTAATTTTGCTTATTCACATAGCCTTCAAGATTAAAATGATCTTTCTGATATGATTATTTTCGGGTGAACCGAAAACGCATTGGATTGTCTCATTTCGTAACTATTAATCATGAAACTAATTTTTTAACGTGTCACAAATGAAGCTTTAGCTTTGGATCCCACCATAATCTCTACTTCAAATTCTGAACAGTAAATGACTCAACACACTGCATCTATGTAAGGGGTCATGCTGTTTCTGGACATATGAATTTTTTGTCCTGAAAGAATTTAACCTGGTCACTATACTTCTATATTTCAATGGTTAACTGTATTTATTTGCTTTATTACAGAAATTGACCCAAAGCATGAACGGCTTAGATGATCCTAATTTGGGTTCAGATGAGTCACCGTTCAACACGGGGATATACAGGAAGAAAGGGCATTTGAATGAAAGGGCCTTCTCTTACTCAATAAGACAAGAACACAGAAGTAGAAGTTACGGCAGTTTGGCTAATTTGAAGTTTGCTAGTCCCATACCTAATGGCCATGATGTAAGTAGCATTCCCTTAATAGCAGGATATGTTATAACATTTAATATTCTGATATTAGATGAAAGAAATTTCCAATTACAAGGTTCATTTTATATTTTTTGTCTTTGAGCTTAGAAAAGGAAGGCAGTGACGTTATTAAAGTAACTTGTTCAACATTCCTTGTTCTATCTCATTGGCAATAACTAAAGTATGGATGTGAAAATGTATATACAGGGTGACTTCGAAGTTGAGTCATTTATTTTAACAGTGTGTAGATCTGATCAAAAGAAATGTTTTTTTCCTTTACCATTTTTCTGGTAAAATTAAAGTAACAAAGTTATAGCCCTTTGGAAGTTTGAGTACCGCCCTGTCTCAATAATATCATGTGTTCGTGTTTGGCAACAACGGTTCATCGCATCGGAAACAAAAAAGCGAAAGAATTTGGAACGATGTTTTTACGATTACAATTCAGTTCAGTTATACATACAGTCAGTTTCAGTCGCGTGTGAATAGTGAAATAAAAAATGGCACATGTTTATGCGGATCGGTTTCCCAATCGAGTGCAACCAACCCCTCGTGCCTTTGTTAATGTAGTACAACGGGCTCGTGAATCAGGTGACTTAAGACCTCACAGGAGACCTCACGATCAAATACAGGTCCGCACTGAAATACTTGTCGGGAGGATACTTTATAAAACAAGGTAAAAATTTTTTTTAATTTTTTTTCTATTTTTACACACATATTTTGGTTTATCTTCCTTCTACAATCATTATCTGAAAATTAATGACTCAACTTCAAAGTCACCCTGTATAACAGGCGCCAGGTTCAAATCGTTCTAGAAAACTATTCAGTTTTGTAAATGGGATTTTTGTTTCGAATTATTACTAAAGAGTTTGACTGTTGAAAACTGATTCCATCAGCCGGAAACACATTATTGTGACATCACGTGAACTTCCGTAGCAAAATGTCAATTGATGGTTTTGATTGGTTAATTGCTGCTTGAGGTGACAATAGCGTATTGCTAAAGACTCTCTTTGCGTAACATACGAGGTCTGTAAATTAAGTGATAAGACTTGCAACATAGCGTCCGATCTGGCAACACTGGTGGCGCCGGGCTTATAGGGGAGAAAATGAGAACTCGTGATCCGCCTTCAGTGCAAGGATGAGCTCTCATTTGGTGGTCCGTAGCGATTTTTTATGTAAAACAGTTTTTTCTATTGTGCTCTAAAAATGAGTGACATCAATTTCGAGCAATGGTGTGCTACGTTTTACTTCAGACTTGGGAACGGTGCAACGGAAAGTATTGCTAAGCTCCAGTAGTCCTACAAAGATAGAGATAGAGCCCAGGTTCTTCGGCGTCTTAAGGGATTTTCAGGAGGGCATCGTTCATCAAATCAAAAACAACCGGGTGTCGCTTCTCGACATACAGCATTGTCAATAAACGAGTTTTTGGCTAGTAAAAACATTCCTGTGGCTCCTCAGCCTCCTTATACATATGACTTGAGGCCTTGTAACTTTCTTCTCTTTCCGAAGTTGAAAAATCACCTCAAGGGTCAGTCGAAACAGTCAAATGGCTATAACCGGTCAGCTAAAGACTATTATGTATCGCAATTCCAGCACTGCTATGAGGAGTGGAAGAACTGTCTCCAGCGCTGTGTGGCTTCAGAAGCAAGTTATTTCGACGGTGACAATGCAAAATTGTAGTAAGATGTCAATAAGAACATTAAAAAAAGTCAGATTCATCACTTAATTTAGATACCTCGTACCTTGAGTTAACGTTACAGTTCGTGAACTTGTGCGTGGGCTCGTGAACTTAGGTAACGTGAAAATAATGTTTTTTTCAGCAACGTTTAGACATACCATAAAATCTACTTCTTTGAATTATAGGTAGAAGATAGAGAAGATATAAAAAAGGAAAGAGAAATAATGCAACTAGTGCAAGATTTAGACCTTTCTGAAGACGAGTTGGAACGTTCGGAGGTTCCAAGGGGAATGTATGATGCTAGAGCAGCACCGCCACCGGGCCCAGTTGTTATTCAAGCAACTCATATGAACGGTCACGGTCGAGGGCATAGACGATAAGGTAAGTAATAAGCAAATATCAGAAATTTCTCCCGAAAATATTTCCATACTTTTCGTATTTATACAAAATGATTTCAAAGGACATCAGCCCATCAGCTTCCATTAAATCCGAATTTCTACCCACTTCTCCATATTTCTATTTTCAACCATAGTCTGTAGCCACAAACGTGAAATATCATATAGGTACCTAAAATGCCTAAAATGCTGTAAAAGCAATTTTAGGTGTCGCATAGATTAAATTGTATACTAGTTCACTATCACTTAGACACACATTTCTAGATTTTTACTATTCTGTGTCAGCGCCAGCACCCTCCTATTGTGAGGTCATGCTTTCTTTTTGAATTGTAAGAAATTTCAGGCTGATAATACATTTGATGCAAATTGATATTTGTAACATTATCCCAAAATAGAGCGTTGACACGAAACAGTAGAAAACTACTGACGATACCGCCCGGAAAATATTGAAATTCTGTAGGAATGTGTTTCTGAAAATACCCCGTTTAGATCTGCAACATGGAGTTAATTCATAATTTTCTGTTTCAGGATTCATGTAACGTGCAACTTGCATCTCCATATTATTATTGTTATTTTTCATAAACTGAGTATATTGACTGTGACTTAGTTAATTCATACACTCTTAGTTTCATTGCAGTAACAGCATCAGTACGTACTAATATTAACACAAACGAAGTATTGGTAACTGAAAATAGAAAGTGCAACATGTCACAAATTGTGGAATCAATCACAAGAACTTGCATAGTAGGTCTAGCATCAAACACATCCAACAAATACTAGAACCTCAGAAAATCAGAGTTTTAGATGCCTTTTGAGTGAATTACTATGCAGGTTCTTTTTGTGAAATATGGTGAACTCACGACATATTACGCAAACTTACGAGCTATAATACGTGGATGGAATCCCGCTTACGCAAAGCAATACGTTTTTATGGAAATGCTTCTGTCAGTTCATCAATTTAGATTTTGGTACGTGAATTTGGGTCATAATTTGTCAGTTCACGTAGGGTGAAATGTGTTTCCGCCTCTATTTGACTACTTAATACAAGTAACTTCGGTACTCGGTTTTGTTGCATATGTAACATCAAACAATCATACCATATGATATTTTTTGATTCATAAATTAGCTCTAAATATACCTACAGATATTATTCAAGTATATTTGTTTTTGTTAAACAGTGTAAACATGAGACTTTTGTGTATAACCGTAACCAAATTGAATATTTGCAATAATATCATCGACGCATTGAGGTTAGACATATATTATTAACGTGACATTGTCGCGTCACTCATCACAATTTGTAAATATATTATGCTTCTATTTAAATAGATTATAGAATTATACAACAGTTAGAAATATCTTTATATCAGAAATTTGCTCATTTGGTTCAATTCGGTAGTGGTGTAATCTTATATATCGTAACAGTTCTGTGAACATTTTAAAATCTTAAGTGCCATTATTTGTAAAAATATGCAATTGTGCAACGCGTTGGCTTCGCAAAACAACGAAGATGTAATAGAAATTTGCGATATTTTTTAAAGATGTGTATCAATATTATGTATTGCAAATGTAATATATCAACGTATTTTTGTACATAAATAAATATTTGAAAACATTCCCTTGATTTCTTATTAACCTTGGATCATACATACCGTATGCGTTGAGATACGCCTATCCCATTTACATCATCGAAATATTTTGGCGGATGTGTTGGGGCAAAACGGGTACGCGCATTCACCAAATATTTAATGATGGGCTATTTTGTAAAAACGGATAAAAGATCATTTCATGCCAAAAAGGAAGCGCTATATACCGGAATTCTGAGTGACATATTTGAAAAAATCATGTAATGTTCATTCATTCACTTATACATATTGTTTTTAGACAATTTCGTAGGAGTTCAAGTGGTCGCTTTCCCAGATTTAATGTTTTGCACACAATTTCGTCGGCGGTTAAGATATCGCTTTTGTAAGTTCTGAAGTACAGATATGTAACTGAATCTTGAATATTTGTGAAATGAAATAAAATACGTTCAGTTTTTTAATCATCTTAATCTTTTATTGAAACTTCTCTAGAAGCCGCGCAAACCTGAGCCCTCTTGATTTTATATTTTCCATTACTTTTTGGTAGGTTTCGGGAGGAGTATTTTCAATCGCTTCCGTAATATTGTTCTTCAGCTGCTCTACAGTATTTGGTTTGTTGACATAAACCCTATTTTTTAAAAATCCCCATAAAAGAAGGTCAAAAGTCAGGAGCCGTTAAGTTCGGTGACCTTGGTGGCCAGTCGACATCACCAAATCGAAAAATTAAACGTCCCGGAAATATTGTTAGCAAAAAATTCATTGTTTCCCTAGTTGCTCCGTCCTGCTGGAACTGCATGTTTTGCAAGTTAAATTGTTGGATTTGAGAAGCCAAGTTTTGCACTATATCACGGTAGCTCTCGCCAGTGACAGTAAAAGAATTATCTGCAGCGTCTTCAAAGAAGTAAGGTCCAATGACACCTCCATACCAAACACCGCACCAAACTGTGACTCGACGAGGATGTAGTTGTCGTTGATGGATGGGCTCTCTAATGCCCAGATACGACAATTCTGCTTATTAACAAATCCGCTCATATCGAATTGCGCTTCAACGATAATTATCAGTTGTCTGTAAAAATCGTTATTTTGGGTATTAAGCTGCAATATTGCATGACTGTATTGACAGCGATTTTCATGGTCACTAGGCGGTAGTTCTTGGGTTAACTGAACTTTGTATGGCCTCAAATGCAAAACTTTTTGTAAAATAATGCATAATGACGTACGACGAATACCCAGTTCTTGAGAACGATGACATTGACAAATCTTTAACTTCACCTGTTTGTTCAAATTTCCATACCAACTGACGAATGCTTTTGACTCTGGGCACATTATTTCGTTGCAACAATAGACTCATAATTCAAGAAACGCGCTTTGTGATCATGTAGCACTCCATGATGAATTGAACACATGTGCTTTATGCAACTACTACGGCGCCACCTACTGAAATGCGTGTATCAAAAATGGTGCACAATTTAAATCAGTCAGTTATATAAAGGGAAAATAAATAGTGTTTAAATTGTTCTTTTTTGCTTGAAAGAAAACCGCGTCAGCCACGCAGGGTTATTAGCGGCGTACGATTCTATGGGTGTACAAGAAAAATAGTAAGGTGCTAAATAAATAAATTCGGTGCCCTTTTTATAGAGTACGCATTTATCCTCATCCAGCCACTACCACCATTACACAGTAGTTCAAGAACAAAAAAAAAATTACCAAAACTCTAGAAAGAACTTTTTCGCGTTTGGCTTCACATTTTGTTCGGTTACAGGGAAGAACCGAACCCTGAGGGACACCGGCTGTGATGGGCCGTGTTGTCGACAGAACGTTATTAATATTTATCCGAAATTGCCTACCCTCGAGAAAGGATTTCAAAAGTTTTAGGAGCCAGAAGGGGAAGCTCTTATGGATCAATTTACGGGTGAACCCCCTGGTTACTCGTTCAACAAGCCGTATGGCCTGTAGCTCCGTACTATGCTCAGACCGAAAGCCAAACTGCACGACAGGAATCACATTGTGGTCTGCCGAGAAATTATCCAGGTGACGTAGAAAACCTTTTCAGCGAACTTAGAAGGAGCGGACAGTAGACTAATGGGGCGGTAATCGTGGGGGAATATCGAACCCACCTTCTTTGGAATCATTATGACATCAGCGGTCTTCCACACCGTTGGGAAGTGCTGGGTCCTTAGCTGGTGTGCAATGCGGAGTCTCAGGAGATTCCGATGATGCGCCGTGCAGCTCTTCAATTGAGGAATCTTCTGAAGATTCCTCTGAGGAAAAATCATTAAGGGAGGCACTACTGCCACTGACGCCGTTGGCCCTAAAATATCTCCTGATGAATCTTACAATATGTTGCTCCTCGACGAGGTCATTATCAAGGTCATAGTTGGGAGAGAACTGACTTTCCATTGCATGAGCGAAAACCTCGACCTTTTCCTCTGTCCTATAGACTATGCCCCTAGGACCGCGGATGTGCGGGAGTTGTTCTCGCTTTCCGTTTCTGAGCGACTTTGCAACTTTCCAGAGAGGAATACTCGAGTCAAGCATCCCCGACAGAAAGTCGCTCCATTGCTCATTACGGAATTCATGAAGAGCATTTCTCACTTCATGAACAAGATTCGTTGCTCTGTGAATGTCATCTGGATGACAGGGTCGACGGTGTGTATAATTACGAGTATAATGTAGCAAAGAATTCGTTGCCAATCGACACATGACACGATACGACAACAATATATAATTGATAATTTATTCTTCTGTAAGTCATAGTAAATTAGTGAATTCTAAAAGAGCTTAGAAAAAAAAGTCCATTAGATTCGGCTCTATTTCGGATAGCAGCTTGCCAGCAGACGCTTGGTTAAGAATAATGTCAAATTTGGCTGCAGCCGAGTGCTACTTTGACATCTATGCGACATTATAAAATAATTAGCAAAAATGCTTGAAAATAAATAAAACTCAAAACTGGGTACAATCAAAACGTTTTTTGCATCTAGGGTGTTCATTTGAAAACTTCTCACCACGGATTTATCGAAAACCACTGATTTAAAAAAAACGCCAAGACACGACAAAAGATTCGTCAAGGAGGACAACTTTTTAACCAAAAACTATTTACCTCCTTTCACCCTCTATCCCCCAGGGTCATCCTCTTAAAAATTTCAAATGACAAGGGATATCGAATAATAGCTTGTTTGAAAGATCTTTTGAATTTGACGTTTGTTTTTTTAAAACCGGTCGATTCGTTTTCAAGAAAATTTTTAAAATCTCTTTTTATCTTAATTTGTTCAGATAGAAAACAACAACACACGAAAATATCACTTATTACTTCAGTAAGTGTTTAGAATGTTGCCCGTTATTGGCCAAACAATGATACAGACGATGTTCAAATTCCTGACGGACATTTTCAAAAACATGTTGTGGGATATCAGGGCCGCTTTCGATGATGCGTTGACGAAGTTCATCCAAACTTTCAGGTTGTGGAGTAAACACAATAGATTTCAAATAGCTCCATAGAACAAAGTCTGATGGCGTCAAATCGGGAGATCTAGCAGGCCATTCTATAGGCCCTCTTCGCCATATCCATTTATCTGGAAACTCGTCGTCTAGCAATTGCCGAACCGGAAGAACATAGTGAGGAGGAGCGCCGTCTTGCAGGAAATATAGCCTCATCAAGTATAGGGTCTTACGTCTCTCCGTTTTGGTTTTTAATGGTTTCAGTGATAAGCGTATTGATGGTATTCTCCAGCATATCCAAATAAATGTGTCTCCATTCAAAATTCCATTAATAAGCAATGGCCCAATTACTTTGTTTCCTAAAATACCTGCCCATACATCAGTTCTTTGGCGGTACTGGGTATGCCCTCCTAGAAAAGCATTGCTCCAATACCTGCAGTTATCCTTATCAACAAATCAATGTAGATAAGATGTGCATTCATCACTGAAGCAGATATTCTTCACATGAATGGTATTATCATCAATCGCTGCAGTCATTTGTTTCCCAAACTCAACTCGACTATCAAAATAATCTTCGGTTAACTCTTGCAATATTTTCATTTTGAATGGATGAAATTTATGAAGCTTAGTAACTGTGTGTACAGGACCTAATGAAATACCAGTCTCAGCAACGATTTTGCGTATGAAGTATTAGGAGCGGCTTCATCCAAAACTCTCCGATTTGCAACAGATCCAGTTTGAGTGAATTTAGTAACAGGGTCCAAGACATATCTACCTATGCGACGGTAGTTTGCCGAGCACATTGATTTTGAGGACCATAAATTAGAATCATTTCCACTCTTTCGGCTAGTGTGTTAACCATTTTGGAAGTAAAATCCTTCCTTTCCCTTAGCAACAAATAACTAAACAGGTGTAACAATAAATACAGTTCGCCCAAGATATCTGTGGTGATGAAAAGAATGCAGAAATAAATTCGGGTTTTTGTTAGGTTGTTGCCACGTCTTATCTTACGGATTGTTGTTTATGTTGGTACTTTCCACTTCAAATTATAAAAGAATCGTTGGATTGAATTATATAAATAAAGATGATTCTAATTTCGACTGATTTCAGAAAATCAAACGTCAAAATAAAGGACTTCGAAGGACCTTTCAAACAAGCTCTTCTCGATACCCCTTATGCATTTAAAGTTTTTAAGGGAATGACCCTGAGGGGGGGGGGGGCTGAGGGTGAAAGGGGTGAAGTAGTTTTTGGTTGAAGAGTTGTCCTCTTCGACAAATGTTTTGACTTGTCTCGGCGTTTTTTCTTTCAATCATGGTTTTCGATAAATCCGTGATGAAATGAACACCCTGTATATGCCCGTTATATTGGATCCGTAATTCTGTTTTTTGCAGAATCGATAATAAATTCGACACCTGCGATTCTTAAAACATACAAAATTCTGCGGCAATCAAAATATTTTTGAAAACATGTCTACTATACTGAATCTACCACTTTGCTTTCGTTCCTTACCAGCGTCCTCAAAGACATGTAAGATTCGAACTTGAGCGTAATCCAAAAAATTTTTGTAAGCATTTCCGCCATGTTGGATGGATATCA